TTTGTTCTTTTCCCTCAGGCCATTTGGTCATCCAATCAGGTCACTGGCTTATAATGCAGCAGACAGGCAGACATTTCCCCCCACCATGGTAGCAGCAGTGACCCTCCCTCCCCCAGACAGTAGAATACACACACAGATGAATTAAGTACAGAGAAAGAGCATCAATACTCAATTAGGAAAATGGACCATTAGTCGTATGTCTGTATGTGTGAGTGATCTCTCGAGTATTAATGTTGTCTGACCCGGTGTGAGAATATTGACAGGAAGTGATAAGTTAGGCTTATCCTAAACACAAATTATCGCAGGGATCAATAATCCTCCCTGGTGTTAAACAGGAGAATAAATTCACTCTTATCTGATTGTGTGGAGAGCAGTTAAATCAAAGAAATGAATGTTAATTATGAACGTTGATTTCTCAGACATCCCCAAGATTGACGCTGCCACGTCTTCGATTCCTGTGTGTGTACACACGTGCCTTAAGGGAGACTGCAGCGGTTATTCATTTTTAATTTAATACATTCACATTGACTGGGTGGAGAGTCATTCACATTTACACAGTGCAGGCAGGCAGGTGTGTTGATGTATAAGACCCTCACTTCTTCTGCAAATATAATTTTAAAGGCTACAAGAAGTTGAGATACATGCTCCACCTTCTAGACGTTTTCCGATCAGGTGTCTGCCAAAGTTATCTGTCAAAATAAGGAGGTAATCACAGCCTTTGTGCTGAGTGACAGAGGAATTAGTCGTTTGTGAGTAACATATTAAAATGACAGAGTACAGAAGACAGATTATTGAAGCCTTGTGCCTGAAATACAGTGCTTTTCAGGTGCTCTGGTGAAGTATTTGTCCACCAAGGAGAACTATCAGGCTCGTATGTTTACAACTTCAGCTTCTTGATGGGGTCTGCTGATGCAACTGCAGTGAAAAAAAAAAAAAAACAACATTTTTTGGGATTTAGCAGAACCTTAAATATATTCTGCCTTTCAAAGGCTCTGGTTCTTCCAGGGAGACTGTTTCAGTTGCTGCCTAACAGATGGAGAAATAAAAGAGGGGCATAGTTAACCAACTGATGGGCAAAAATGCGATCAAAGGTTTAGCTGCATTTAGCGAGCGTCCCCTGCTAAACCCCTGCTGTCGTTACTACATGCTGTAGTAGTATTAAACCGTGGTGTCACTGCTTCTTACCTCCTTTGGCTCACGAGAGGCAGGTAGCAGTGACAGCAGGGTTTACTATTAAAACTGGTAGAAAAAGCAAAACTTGTTCGCGTGTTAGCAAATGATAAAATATTGTTCCATTGTAATAAACAATATAAAGTAATACAAATTGTATTATGTGTAGGTGACAATGCAATGTCTGTAGTTAGTGATAGTTAACGGGAGTTAGTGATAGTTGACCTGGGCTAATAGCCTTCTTCGTTTTTTTCCTAAATGTTAACAGAAGCATCCTGTCATCTCCAGCTATGATAAGTCAGGTCTCATTTAACAAGAGATTATCTTTGCAAATGTACATGTATGAAGTACAGATCAGTGCGTTTACTTACATTTATTACGAGCTAATGTGCTAACAGCACAACTCTCAGCTGGAAATCACCCAAAATGACAGAGTGAAAGTGAGACATCGCCACCTACAGACCAGCTGGATGTGTACATCAGGTCCTCTACTGTGTTTTTATACTGGGCCAAAGGTAATATTCTGATCTCACATTCCAGCCAAGCTGCAATTATCTGTGTATATGGATGTACTCAGTGGGGAGGAATATACATTTGCTCTCTTTACCCTTCATGGAATGTGTACTTTTCTCTCAGGAATTGGGTGTGTATTTTTTTTTTCCTTTTCCCACAGAGCCGTGGCCGTGACCATATGATAGTGTAACAGATTTAGAAGCCCTCCATGGAGCCAGCTGTAGGTCTTTAAATTGATAATTGTGTATTGTGAACTATAAACAGAGCCAGCATTATATTTCCCATATATTCTTGGCTAGAAATTCTTTTGCCATAACATTTGGACATTTGGTTTTTAGTGTGTGTATGTTTATCTTTCTATGATTATGTGTGTGCGTACAGGCATGAATGCAGTGTCAGTCAGTCATTTTGAAAAACTGTAATTTCCAGGGTTGGTGGTCCGTGGTTCAAGTCATGTAGTTGTTACATTTTTTTCCCCCCCTGCTTTTTACGACAGTTTGAAACAAGGCAGATCTTTTACATTTGCTCAGTTTTTTCTGCGACATTCTGTTTCTGCAGTGGGTTCAGCTGCAGCCAGAGCGGGAGTGTTGTGAAAGTCTGTTTATAAAGTCCAGTGACCCCCTTCAATCCCACCAGGATGTGACCCCATGGTTCCCACGCTAACTGCAGCCTTCTAAGGCTCTTTTCAGTGTTGTCATTCATGTGCAGTATCACACACATGCATCTGAACACTCACAGAGCTTTAAAAAAGCAGGCCTGTGAATCAGGATTGATGTAACTGTGCTACGCGAGTTCCTGGGATCTGCTTTACATTGACTTGATGAAGAACAGTAGTCCTGGTGGACTAAAATGAGTTCCTGCATCACAGTGACAGTCACTGCTGCTGAGCTTTTCAGACTGATCCTGGCCCGGGGCAGTGAGATGAAGGAGTGGAAGCCAAGTTTCCCATTTTGTCTTTTTTTTTTTTTTTTTGTTTTCTCCCCCTGACTGTTAATGCCTCCCCAGCAACGACTCCTATTTTGGCCTGGGTGTGAACTATTTTCTTCACCCATTTCCCAGAAAAAAAGTGTGTGCCTTAAAAAACAGATTTTTGACCATGTTTGTTTTCTTTGGCACAATTTCCTCCTGAGTTGTTGCGCTTGTGAAGCAGTTGCATCATTTCCTGACACTTTTATTAGCTGTGTAATTTGTTTTCATCTTGGCATTTTTTTCTTTTTTCTTTTAAGCCAACTTTAAAGCCCAATCATTTTGGCTTTAGCTCTTTTTGGATGAGCCTTGATGTATATTTTGGCAAATTTACAGCTAGTTTTGGCTGTGTTCAAGCTATCGTTTTGGCTATCTGTTAGCCATTTCTGAAGTATAACGGCTTACATTTAGCCATGTCTGTGAGAAGTTAAATCTGATTTTTGTGTGTGTGTGTACCAACCTTGAGCTCTATTGTTAACATCCTGCATGTCTTTATCAGTTTAGTTCTCTGTGTACTTACTGATAATCTGTTACTGTTTTAGCTAACTTATGGTTATTGTGTGTCTTAAAACCCTCTTATCTGTTTACGGATTAGCTTTTTCGATTTGTTTGGTCTAACCTTTAACTGGCTTTGACTAACAGCTATCTATATTTTCTTTAGAATTCCGTGGCATTGACCCAGGTTGTGCCAGAATTCTAATGGTAAAATGAATATATTAATGTATGACCATGTTCTATAAAGGCACTTTAACATAGGATTATTGTTTTTACTATTAGTTTCAAATAAAAACAAATTCGCTCACATGGACACTGCTACTAGGTAAAACCAGAGCTAACCAAAAACAGGTTGTCTCCTGAGTTGACACAGATGGAGGCCATGTGTTGCATGCTTATACCAAGGTTGCGGCCCCGACAGGAAACGCTGCTGCTTTCATGCAAGAGAGTGTTTCTATGGAAACTAAAGCAGGTGAGGGCAATGACAGGAAGGAGTACAACGCAGCTTATCTGTCAAAGACAAGGGGGTGGAGACAAAGGAACGAGGTCAGAGAACTAAAAAGGCACATGCCGCATTAAACAGCACAAATCTCTCAATGGTGCCTTTTCTGAAAAAAGGACGCCGACAGAAATATCTTTTGAAGGTGTGTCTGTTAGAAAAGTCAAGGTTAAGGCGCAGACTGTTTGGTTTAGTACGAATAAACACGCCGTAGAGGCGAGGCACAGAGAGAAACACTTTCGATGGCAAGCCGAGCACATTGAACCGTACAGATTTCCTCCCACAAGTCCAAAGTGCATGTGTGTTTTGAAGTTTGTCTGCACAAACTGCTTGTACTTCATAATGCAGACCACCGTGACAGACTCCTTTTCATGTGTGTTTTATATAGTGGAATGGGTAGCTAATAAGCTGCCCTGCTCTTGTGCTCCAGCAGTGCACCTGAAGGAAGCAGCAGTGACTGGCTTGGCAGTTCTGGGCCAGACGCTTCAACTGTGCAAAAAAGATTTTCCTTCTAGCTGTCACTCACAAAGCTCTAGGTGCCTAAACTCTGTTGTTTGAGGAAAAAGGGACGCCTGGGGAATATTTCCCTGTCACTTCTTATTTCTTCACTCAAAATTCCATCTACATTTTCCAAAGTAGAAGATGAGTTTGCATGCTGAGCAGTAGAAGTTGAGCTTCACAGCAGAAAATCTCCGGCAAACCTCAACTCTCCCGCGATTGATGTCGGTCTGTGGTTGGTGTTTTGCTCTTGGCTTTAATGTCGTTTAAAAGCAGAGTCCTGTGGTGTTCTAACTTTTTTTTCCTAGCAATTTAGAGCTCTACGTGTTTGAAGTGTGTCGCTTATCATTACAGAATTGTTTAATTGATGGCCTCAAATCATATAATTAGTGGGAGATTTGACATTCCAAGAGATGTTTTTATTTACTTGATGGGGTTAGACTGCCAAATGTAAACATAAAAGCTCTATAGTAAAGGGATTTCTATTTATTTATTTTTTTAGAGTTGTTGATTCAAAACTATTTCTAATCTGTTTGGATTTTTCTTTTCATCATGAAAGATGTGAATTTCTGTAGTTAAGTGTATTTTCTTTCTTTTCTTTTTTTTTTTAGGTCCTCAGGCTGATTGAAAAGGAATAGATTCATTCCAAGATAAAGATCAGGAAGATCCTTCTTCATCTAACTGTCTTCTTCACTTGAAAGAGAAGAAATTTAATCTGCAACAATGCCAATCTTAAAACAACTTGTGTCCGGCTCCTCCCAGACGAAGCGCCGCTCACGCATGGACCTGACCAGGGAGATGATTAGTGCCCCTCTGGGAGACTTCCGTCACACCATGCATGTAGGTCGCAGCGGTGATGCTTTTGGAGACACCTCGTTCCTCAGCACCCGCTCAGGAGAACCTCCACCCGAGAACAAGTCCTTCCCCCGATCCCCTCGACCCGGCCTCTTGTCTCGTACCTTCAGGAGCAGTAAACGCTCCCAGTCTGTGACCAGGGTTGACGAGCAGACAGACGGCAGCCAAAGCGGGTCACCTACGTATGTGAAGAACGCCATGTCCCTGCCGTTTCTCTATGATGACAACAGAGCAGACGACATGGTCTCACAGAGTCTCACCTCAAGTCCTTTGAAGCAGCAGCATGGAGCTCTGGACGGCAGAGGCGCGGCTGCTGCCACGCAGGGTTGGGAAATAGAGGAGCGCAACTTTGGGGAGTTGACTGAGCTGCCAGAGAGTTCACTTTACTCTGGAGGTGGCATGAAGCACGCTGTGTCTGTTATGTCCTTCCATGTGGACTTAGGACCCTCCATGCTGGGAGACATCTTGGGGGTCATGGAGAAAGAGGATGACGATCTTGGATATGAGGAGGGCAAGAGCAGTGAGGGCCGTGCCTCACCTCCTCTCAGTGCCCACGGTGAGGAGGAGAACAGTGTGGAGGGGGTAAAGGATGAGGAGGAAGAGGCAGAACTGCAGTTGCCCTGTCCTCCTGTTCCTTCAGCCAGTTCTACTAAGCACCACCCTGAGAACGGAGGACCTTACACTCCGGAGTACACGCCTGAGCTGAGGCCCAAACACTTACATCACCTAGACACTTGCTCCATGTCCAGCTCCGGCTCCGCGGGCCTGGAGGAGAAACCACACAGTCAGATCTATGCAGGCGATACAGACAGCGCCACCTTCAGTGCCCCGCCAGAAGAGGAGAGTAACTTCTCCTCTTTCTTGGAGGATGAAGATGACGAGATCCGTGTGTGAAAAGTAGGACAACGTTTTGGAAGTGGTTTACGTGAATCTAGCAAGTCCTTTGACGGAGTGGATTTAGAAAAAGAAAAAAAAAGGAGGACAGCATTTCCGTCATTGTGCGAATAAGGACTGTGGAGGAGACTTTGTCAGTCAGCAAGTGTCTGCTGGCTCCGTCAGGACGGGCTGAGCTTTATCTGTCTGACAGCTTTACTCTCCACTTTCTGATCGTCTGTCAATCCGTCGCTGCCTCTTTGAATTCAGAGAGGACTGATATTCAAGAGCTGCGGCCTTCTGAATATGGAACATTCCAGATGTGCTTGGGGAGGGGGTGGGTTTAGAAAGGAACTTTTGTAGGAAAACCACTTTCCATAACTAAAGCTCACTTCACATACTGTCTTCTCACTTAAGGTGTCATGTGCTTTTCTCATTCCATTTGCTTTTTCTTGTTGTTTGTGTTTCTCCCGCTCCCTCCCGGGCTGTGGGACATCATGAGGTCGGAGCTGAACAGAAGGTCTCTGTCACCACCGGGCCACTGGTGGGTTATCTTGTCACAAAGAAGGGGGTTGCGTTTGTCACTGAAGTGTGTGAAGGCTAGCCCCGGTCGTCTGCGGCTGCGGCAGAAATTTGAATTTTCTACTTGTGTAATAACTCAGGGTCCTTGTGAGGCTGCGTGAAGCCAACTGTTTCCTGCTACAGAGCTAAACCACCATGGTATGAGCACCACACGGACATTGGCTCGCTGTGGGAAAAAAAAAAAGCTTTAAACCTTAGATGAATTCTGGTCAATTTCAACATTGAGCTCTGTTCTTAGAGGTTTCTTTCACACTGTTGTGATTATTAAAAGGACTGGGTAAAATGATTCAGAGATATGAGTTCACCTGGTGATGTCCAGTGTATTGATATAAATGAATAATGTATCAGTAAAACGTTAGTTTTATTAATGTTAGGATTCACCTGTCGTGATATTTTGAGTGTGTTTTGTGGTAAAAGGCATGAAGTGAAGACTTCCTTCCCTCCTAACATAGACGTCTAACAACAGAGCTGTTTGTTGAAAATGATTCCACTGACTCTTGTAACTTAACCCTGGTGTAACCACACGAAAACAATGGTTTGAAATTGTTTTTTGTCTCGGTCGTGTATTTCCACAGATTATTTATCTCACGTTGAGGCCAAGAGCAATTTAATTCATTTTACAGAAATGACAGGAATTGTTGAGATGTTACTGATTTCAAATTCAAAGTGCTTGTTCAACAAAACCACATCCTTCCTCTCTGTACAGGAACAGTCAACGCGAGGGGTGCCTTCAAGCGTCACACAACCTGCAACGTCTTTAAGGGTTCCAGTGTGTAAATATTATATAGATGGATAAATGACTGACAGTCGACCGTTGGGCCCTGTATCTTCACACTACATCTGTTTGGTGCCTAATACCGTCTGTATCGTTCTGTCATTGACAAATTGGCAATTTTGTTGTAATGTCTGCTTTGAATAATTATTAAGAGATGACGCAGCCAGCAGCAGATGCAAGGGCGAGTAGAGAGGAGCTATTGCACAGTCATTTCAGCTTGACTGTATCTCTTGCATCATGAAAGCAGTGGCCAAACACTCAGAAGCTTCGTTGTGCTGATTGATTTCACTGCCTTAACTGAAACTGACATGTGCCAAATGATGATGATGATTTTTTTAAACTAAAAAAAAAAAAGTATAATTTTGTGAAGCTTACTCTTTACTGAGCCTGCTGGATACATTTTTCTTTCTCTTTTCTCTGTGTGGCTAATCTCTGTTGACTTTAAGGTCGGCTGGAGTTCTGGATGATTTAATTAAAAAAAAGTTAATTAAATGAACTGTGTTTTTAAGAAAATATGCATTAAAAAGGCAAATAATTTTTATATAAGTGTACGTTTCTAATACGAGACACTCACACTACATTAGACAGTATCATTTTTCTTTTGTTACATTTGTGTGGCTGAGAATTCCCTGCGTTCTGTACAATGTATATTATTTCCCTGTTCTTTCCTTCTTTTCTGTGTATTACTACCTTTCTGTACCATACAAAATAACCTATATTTTTCAATAAAAGAAACTCTGATCACCTTTACCACTGCATAATTCAATGTCTCGTTGGTTAGAACAGGGTACAGGGCCTGTTCCACTCCATCAGCAGCTTGAACAGAGGAATTCCTCGAGTGCCTCCTGTTTCCTGTTACTATTCTTCTCTCCCAGCAGAGGAAGGAAGGAAACAATTGAGGCTGGAGTTTGTTGCCTCTCTTAAGTATTAGCTTTTCAAGTTAAGAGTTATGTGATTACTCATCAGTAAACAAGCTTGTGTGCATGTGTGTGAAGGAGGGGGGGGGTATACAATGAACTTTTTAACAATGCTTTTCCTCACTCATATTAAATTTCCCAAAGGGAACTCCCGAGGGATTAAGAAAGTGTTGTCTATCTATCTATCTATCTGTCTATCTGTCTATCTATATATTAGTGGTGTTAAGGATTTTCCTAAACACTAATATAACAGAATAGATCCTTTCTTCTTTGGGAGAATTTTTTAACTCATTGCTTTTGTTTATTTATATGTTAAAATCATTGTAAATAGGTTTCTTTATCAAGGTAAAATAGATATTTATGTAAATATAAATAAATATTTTGCTATTAAAAATATCTTAGCATTTGCTGAATTTTCTGACCAAGAAAGGGCTAATATTCAAAATATTTTCTATTTGATATTAAGGTCTTGTCTGTTTTAAATAATAAATAATAAAAAATTAACCTCCTAATTAGGTGTCACATTATATTTTTTTATTTCAAAACCACTTAGTAAAAAAAAAAATAGCTGACCTGCCCTTTACAGTATGTGCAGGTCTGGAGGAGGGACTTAATCAGACACACCTGTGAGGTGAGAGTGGAGGGAAACTCAAATGGAGGAAAATGGAAGCAGGACAGAGCAGTGACAAGTTTAAAAGACAAAAAAAAGTAAATAGTAAAGGATGTGCAGTAGAAGACGTTACCTGGATTACAAGGAATATGTGGAATATGGAAATGTGAACAGCAAAGTTGTGGAGACCCAAACTGACCCTGGAGCCGTGTGAACAGGACCTGGTTTGGCTGCTGGTTCGACACCTGCTTAGCTTCTGTGGCCATTCTGTTTCTATGGAGTCTCACAACCACAAGATAAGTCACTGATTTATTGATGTTGTTGTAATTATTGGATGTTTCTTAGTTAATTGGAATAAATGAAATGATTAACCTCTGAGTTTTATTTATAATACTGTATGTCATTGTGTTTCTGTTTTGTTGGTAATATAAAAGCATGTTTGCCTTTATTGACTGCTTTTATTCCCAGTGGAACTGAGTATTTTAGCTACTAAAGCTAACCAGAGCTACGTTGAACTAATGCTGTATCCCAGTGTGTCTGGTGCCCAACATTTGTATTTGAGAGGTTTTACTTCTGAAGTTGATGTTTTGTTTGGCCAAGGAACTAATGAGGGAGGAAAACAGGAAGTCTCTTTGAAATATAGTGTATAATAATCTATTTAATATTAAGCTGGGTCTAGTTACGTTTATTAAATATGAACATATTTTTGTTTAACTAATTCTTAAGCATGATTGAGACTCTCTGACACCTGTCTGGATACTCAAGGGTTGTGGGGTGTATTTAAATCAGTGGAGATGTGGCGGTAAAATGATGGATGAAGAAGGAAAAGTTTCTCCTGATGGGGGCATCACTGATAAACAATAACGACAGGTGGTGCTCCTCATCCTGACTGGGTAACGGATGCGGCGGCGGCCACACACGGGCATCATCATGGCTTCAAAATTGTTCTGTCAGTTTTGATTTCACGGAGTCACACAGTTTCACCCACACACACAGGTGAACCGTATATGACAAGTAATGGTCTCCCTCCATGTTTGAAGTGAACGTGCATCCTCTTTAGCAGGCATGTCCAAAGGCCATGTTAGCTGTGACCCCTGGAGAAAAGGTGTAGAACCCTCCTGACCTTTAGTAGAGCTGGTCACTGCAGACACTCTTTGGTTTCCCTCTGATACCATCTGGTCCTCAGAGTTGCTGGCTAAAGTGACTTTATATGATGTACTTAATCATTGGCTAGTGTACAAACACCCATCCTGATCTGAATTTATCTTCGTCCACTTTCAGTTTTTCTCACTCACATTATACTCCAGTTCAATCTAGCAGAAAGCTAGAACAAGTCATTATTCTTAGACTTGTGGTAGAAACAGACCATTTATATCGATTGTTGTGATCGATACAAACCAGCAGTGCTATTGATCCTTCTCTTTACTGTCTGTATGAAACCATTACTCTTCTAAGAGCTTGTTGATTTTTGTTTTTACTTTTATTCGCGTTTTTTTTTTTCAGAGGAGGAAAGACAACGTTCTGAAGTCGACACCAATTTTACATTCGTTTTAAACGGAGTTAAAGTTAATGTACGGCGAGTTTCCTGTGCAGCTGGGTGACTCAGACCCCGGGAAGGGTTGTCTGTTACTGCCATCTAGTGGTAATAAAAATAAGATCTTGGTGAAGGGTGTGTCACCGTCATGGCGAGAGAGTTATTCATTCATTCACTCGTTCAAATACTAACTCTCTTAATCTGTTCCAGCATTATATTGAGTTATATTATTATTAATTCTTGGAGAATTTATAAAATAAAAAAGCCTGGTTCTGTGAGGTCAATTTCAGCTCAAAGCCACAGAGCCTTTTTCCTTTTCAAATTAAAGTTTAAATGCAAGCAGAGCAGGTTAAAATACAGAGAAGGTGAAGGGATTCTGGGTGGATCTGTGGTTAGGGTACAATGTGCAGATTAGACCACAGCCTCAGTAGACTAACTCCCAGGTGGTCTACGTTGGCTGTGGTCTTCCGTTGACAGGTGGAGATACTGGGATTGAAATCATGAGGCCAGTTTTCAACAACTGTCTGAAGCTGATGATTTTCATAGTTGATCATAGTTTGAGCTCAGAAGGTCGAACTGTATTTATATAAATGTCTTGTGCTGAGTTGTCCTTGTTTTAAACTTGCTTCTTGACAGATCCTAAGATGAAATTCAAAGAACTTTAAACATATTGTGTGAGGCCTTTTCTTCTGGCCATCTTTCTCCTTCTCCTTCTCAGCTAATCTCAGCTGTATCTGATGTTTAAATACCTCCTTAACAAAGTTCTACTTTCATTTATGTATCCCTGCTCTCTGATGTTAATGGCTACAATATGGCAATTTCCAGCTCACACTTTAGTTACATTTTGCGAATCTCTTCAACTATTGTTTTGCTAAATATTTATCCATGTTGATTGGTAACAGACTGTGCAACTGTGACCAATTTGTAATTATTTCTTTGTTCTAGTTCCTATCTTTTATTGACCTTTTAGCTACATTTGCTGCATTTGTGTCCAGACTAGTGCCATACAGACTGTTGTTAACTTAATGCCCAGACTGCATGTCATTGGATAGTGGGAGGAAACTGGAGAAAACCGGCTCTCTCTCTTTCTCTCACACAAACACAAAACATAAACTCCATACACAAAGACCACTGGTCTGTGCCAGGACTTGAACCAGTGACACTCTTGCTGTAAGGCATTGCTGCGTTATTATGTGGTTTAAAGTGAAATCCAGTATTTGAACGCAGGCGCCCAAACCGTCCCGCCACATTTAAACTTGACACAGGAGATGTTCAGGACCCCGCCGCCCCCCCCCCCCCCCCCCCCCCCCCCATCAGCAAAGGATCTCATTGTAATAGGAGTTTGTCCTGCAGCTGTTTCTTCTTTTCAGCCACCCTGAATGTAGTCTCTCCTCCTCTGTCAAATGTCGTTTCCCTTCAGTTTCCCACTCCTTTTTCCTGAAAGACTCTTACTTCACAGCCACCAATGGGAGGCGCTCATTGTCTGTGGGTTTATTATGTCAGGAGCCCCTGCCTGGACCCACAACCTTTTCCACCAAATTCCATCAGCAGACTTGACGATCTTCCAGGAGGCTGAAGGCATGCCGAAATCTGGAAAGTATTAAACAACCTGCTGGTGGAGGGGGTTGGGGGAGAGAAGGCGGGGGGCACGGATAAAGGCAAGTAAAAGAGGGAGAAGGAGAGACAGAGAGGGGAAGTTAAAGGTGGGGGATGGGGAGAGAAAAAAACAAAACAAAATTCATACATCGTCCTCTGCCGTGCTCTGTTCTCATTCCCCTCCCACATACACACACACACACAATATATTCATAGTCCCCCCCATCAAATAAAATACGGACCACTCCCCAAGCAGTTTTCAACATTTTAACTTTAATGTTGGCAGCTGGAGTTCCTAAGTTTTGCAAGTTTGCTCTTTTTTTTTATAATGGGTCATAAACCAACGGCCATTTTTTCTACGGAGTTCTTCATTGAGGGTGCTCTGTGGTGTGGTGTGTGTGTGTGAGAGAGAGAGAGAGTTATAGTAGTTGGTGTGTGTGTGTGTGTGTGTGTGGTGTTGTTTGCTGGCACAGAGCAGGAAGCAGAGTGCCATGGTTCAAAACAGCCCAAACTGTGCGTTTGTGGTTGGAAGTGAAAAGGAAATAACTGGACGACTTCCAGACATCTTTTTCCCATGGTTTAATACACACACATATTTGACCAAATGTATGCGGTGTTTGTGTGTAAGTGGGGAGTTCTGTACCCCATTGTGGAGTCCCGCCCACCAAATGTTGAGGATCTCATCTGTGTCAAGTTTAGACTTTCAGACGGAATAGACATTCCTATTTATATTTATATACAGAGAGGGTTTTCAGGCCAAGCTTTAGAATTTAAAAATATTTTATGGCATCCTATAAAATAAAAATACTTCATTCATCCACCTTTAAATTGTAAATAGCTTAAAGTGGACTCCTAAAGTAAAAGTCAGATATATTTTATGATCTGAATTTATCCTAGATGTTGTCTTTAATCTCAATGTTTTTAATATTTTCCCAGATTTCCACTTTAGTTTAAGACTGTATGTTTCTTCTTCTTAAAGGTGTCTTAAAAACTAGGTTTAACTCTACTGGAAAATGTTAAAAAGAAATCCATATTCAAGTTTAGATCCTCTCTGTCTCAGCCCTGCAGTGGGCCAGAGACAGGTCCAGGGTGA